TGAGAAACTAGACGATAGTGTTAAGAAGTTAGATATGAAAGATCTACCATTGCATCTAAGAGAGGGTGCTATCCCTGACCCTAGCTCAGAATCGGGTCAACTAATGATCTCAAAAAAGACACATATTAGACCTCTCTTGTTAGCATTGTATTATAACTTATTTGGACCAACCCATTTTTACCCTCTCTTCTCCCAAGGTTCCCCAGGTGAAGGAGACAAGGAAACATTTATTGCAGCCACGGTAGCATTGAAAAAGCCATTTCATCAAGTGGCACACTTTTTAAATGCTCTTGGATATATGAAGTCCACAGGCTTTGAAGGTACTGGTATGGGACAATTTGATCCGGTTGAAGATTACCTAGTAAGTAAGAAAAGAAAGCTGCTCGAAAACAAATCAGAAAAAGAACGACTGGCGTTGATTGAGAGCGATCCATTATTGAAGAATGGGCCACGAATTCTATTCGTTCACGCAAATTACCCCAAGCTAGACCCTTGGGAATTGAAAACTTCAGGCAAAATTTTTGATGAAAATGGGAACAGGCTTAGATTATATGGAACTGGTGTCAAAATAAAATTAGGACACGATTTCGAGACTGTTCAATGGACAAACATGAAAACCTTGCTTTGTGAATTGAATATTCAAGTTGGCATATATAAAAATGTTGATAGGACGGAACTATGCCAAGAGATCAACGATCATTTGGATTTCCTTAAATCAACAATATCTACATTAGAATAGTTTAGCATTATTTACTTAATTCATTTGAGAAGTCTTATTGTAGTTAATTTTTCAAACTTTGTTACATACAATAACTATTCAGTTTCTGTCCTACTCTCATCCTACTCCATCCCTTATGCTATTGCTTCAACCTATTTATCATCTATATTTTTGATTGAAACCGTGTTTAGTAAGCGTTTATATGTTTTCTCACATGATGCGATTTTCAGATCAACAACATTTCTCATACTAGTTTGAACCGATAGAACAACATTCATTACATACTCCTTATCATACAAATATCATTATCACATACAAACATCATACCATAGATCAATCATGGCCGCGCAATTTTTGCTATTACTATCGAGACAAGGAAAGGTAAGATTATCCAAATGGTATCAAACCATTTCTCAAAAAGAGAAATCCAAGATCACCAGAGAATTGACAACGCTAATCTTATCAAGACGAGCCAAAATGTGCAACGTGTTGGAATACAAGGATATCAAGATTGTCTACCGTCGTTATGCTTCGTTGTTCTTTATAGTGGGCATTGAATCTGGTGACAATGAATTAATATCGTTAGAAATTATACATAGATTTGTTGAACAAATGGATAAAGTATACGGTAATGTCTGTGAATTAGATATTATTTTTGGATTTGACAAAGCTTACCATATTCTTGATGAACTTCTCCTAGATGGATACATACAAGAATCTTCCAAGAGAGAAGTATTGAAAAGAGTTGCTCAACAAGACGAATTGGAGAACATGGATGAGTTTGACAAAATATTAGCATAAACAGAGAATGATTTCCCGTATGGTATCCCATATGAACCTCCATTATGATGCTTTTACCCTGCCAGATTGACATATGTGAGTACTAGAGTTCTCACTACATAGCCCTGCAAGCTTTACATTCCGGTTAACGTGCTATAGATTAGCTAGCTAATAAAGACTAATTCATTGATTCCTTTCTTTTTTCTCTTTACAAGGGCTCAGCATAGAGATCTTCTGGAGCTATTGAGCTGTTGCAATTTAGCCTTAATCTTAAGTTCATCAACGTAGGCGGAATTTTTCATTATCATTCTTTAAGTGGTTTTTTATTATCTAACATCCAGCCCAAATAGAAGGGATGCTAATATTACCTATGTATGCTACATAGTTATCTTTAGTCCCAATTAATGAATGATATATGACTAAAGTAATGGTATTATTCTCATTACAGATTATGAGCATCGCGAATATTTTTTCTATGTGATGAGATGAAAATTAATATTTATGTACATAATAACTGAATTAATCTTCAAGTATAAATATCTGTATAATGTCGGACGAAGAAGACTATGATATTGCAGGAACACTTGCGTTAGCAGGATCTGACTCAGAACCTGAATCATACTTAAGCTCCGATAATGAAGAAGTGCAGGATGAAATAGTCTCTGACGAAGAAGATACCAAGCATAAACCAAATAAGAAACAGAAATTAGAGAAAGGTAAATCGAAGCAAACATTCCCATCGTTAGAGTTATCAGATGATGAAGGTGAGAACGAATCGAAGGATATGGCCTCCTATTTCGTTGCAAATAATCCGCAAGCTAAAAAAGCTAAGAATGGTTCATTTCCGTCATTTGGGTTTTCTAAATTTTTGTTAACGAACATATCCAAGAAGGGGTTTAAACAACCTACACCTATTCAAAGAAAAACAATTCCATTGATTATGGAAAACAGGGACGTCGTTGGTATGGCTAGAACGGGTTCTGGTAAAACAGCAGCCTTTACTTTGCCATTAGTTGAAAAATTGAAAAGTCACAGTCCAAGAGTGGGTGTTCGTGCTATTATTTTATCACCTTCAAGAGAATTGGCATCGCAGACATTTAAACAAGTTAAGGAATTTAGTAAAGGTACTGATTTAAGATCTATTGTCTTGATTGGTGGGGATTCTTTAGAAGAACAGTTTTCTTCAATGATGACCAACCCAGACGTCATAGTGGCTACCCCTGGTCGTTTCTTACATTTAAAGGTTGAAATGGAATTGGAATTAAAGACAGTAGAATATATTGTTTTTGATGAAGCCGATAGATTATTTGAAATGGGTTTCGCAGAACAATTGAATGAATTAATTGCTGCGTTACCGTCATCTAGACAATCCCTTTTATTCTCTGCCACCTTACCAAGATCTTTGATTGATTTCGCTAAGGCTGGTTTAACTAACCCGGTTTTGGTCAGATTGGATGCTGAAACTAAGATTTCTGATCAATTGCAAATGGCCTTCTTTTCAATCAAGAACAATGAGAGAGAGGCAAGTTTGTTATACGTTTTGCAGGAAGTTATCAAGTTACCATTAGCATCACCTGAAGAAGTTAAAAGATATTCTGACATGGAGAAGAGAGATAACGGATCTGAAGACGAAGCTGAAGACGAAAACAATAACAAGAAAAAGAGGTTTAAGTTTAAAAAAGAAAGATTGCCCCCAGCTAATATGTTACCATCAAAGCATTCTACGATTATTTTCGTGCCAACCAAACATCATGTAGAATATGTGACCACGTTATTGAAAGATGCTGGGTATTTGGTATCTTATATTTATGGTACCCTTGATCAGCATGCGAGAAAACAACAATTATATCAATTTCGTATTGGAATGACTAGTTTGTTAGTAGTTACAGATGTTGCTGCTCGTGGTATTGATATTCCGATTTTAGCTAACGTTGTTAATTATACATTACCTGGTTCATCTAAGATTTTTATCCATCGTGTTGGTAGAACAGCAAGAGCAGGTAATTCAGGTTGGGCATATTCTATTGTGAACGAAAAAGAATTACCGTACTTATTGGACCTAGAATTATTTTTGGGTAGGAAAGTTTTATTAACATCCATGCATGAAAAGAAATGTGAAATGTTGAAAAATAAACAATCATCGAACTACGTAGAACCAAAAGTATCTTATACAGATAGATTGGTTCTTGGTTCAATCCCAAGAGTTGACATTGAAACTTTTCAAGAGTTATATGAAAATATATTAAGGAACCATTATGAGTTAAGCGTTGTTAAAGGTGTCGCAACTAAAGGTGAGAAATTATATTACCGTACAAGACAGCCAGCATCTCAAGAATCGTTGAAGAGATCAAAGGAAATTTTGCAGACTGGGAACTGGGATGATCAGCATTTACTATTCGGACCTAACTTAGAGAAAGAAAAGGAAAAATTCTTAACTCAACTTTTAAATAGAAAGTCGAAAGAGACTGTTTTTGAGTTTAACAAAAAAGGTAACGATAGAGATGAAGATAGTTTAGTTGAGTTTATGCATAAAAGAAGAAAGCAAATTGCACCTATTCAAAGAAGAGCCAAAGAGAGAAGAGAATTGTTAGAAAAAGAAAGAATGGCAGGTTTGACTCATGGTATTGAAAACGAAATCTTGAAAAATGATGGTGAAGTCGGCTATTCAGGAATAACTATTGAAGCGGATGAAGAGGAATTACAAGATGCTTTTGAAGATGCGGATGAGTTAATCGAGAAAAAGAAGATTGAAAAGAAAAAGAGTTTCAGAGATCCCCAATATTTCCTTTCACACTATGCACCAGCATCTGTTATTCAAGATCAACAATTATCATTGTCGTCATCGTTTGCAAATGATGCTGCAAAGGCAACATTTGATTTAGATAATGATGAAAAATTAAACGCTAACAAACAGGTCATGCAATGGGATAGAAAGAAAGGGAATTATGTCAATGCACACTCAACTGATAAGAAATTTATTATTGGTGAAAGTGGTCAAAAGATTCCAGCGACATACAGATCTGGTAGATTTGACGATTGGAAGAAGCAAAGAAACTTAAAACCAACTAAGACGGGTGCAATGGAAGCGAATGCTACAAATGGTAATGATAGAAGGTTTAAGCATAAGAAGGTTGCATCTCCAAAGTTACCTGATAAGTTTAGAGATGATTACCATAAGCAAAAAGAAAAGGTTAAGAAGGCTGTTGATTCCGGTTTAAAAGTTAAAGGCTATAACAAACCAGGCCAGAAACAAGAGCTTAGGTCTACCGAAGATATTAGAAAGGCGAGAGCGGTTAAAGATAAGAAGAAACAAAAGAATGCTCGTCCAAGCAGAAAGCGTAAATAGATATCTACAATTTTATCGTGAAATAATTTTCATTTTAAGAATATAAAATATACATAATTTGCCAATAATAATTTTACTTAATAGAACTTCTTATCAATGATTCCCTGTGGCAAATCATTAATCTGAAACAAAAAAATATAAATCAATATAGAGAAATCATCTTCTTCCACCCCTACTATATGGATGGTATCCTCTATTTCTATTTTGGTAACCACCTCTACCTCTTGAATTACCAGAAGGGCCTGAAGGTGGCGCTCTTCTTGGTCCCTTTGGTAAGTTCATTCTTCTTGATGGCCCACTTGGAGTACCTGAACTGTCAGATCCATTTTCTGGCTCTTGGTTGTCTTGGGACTCGGCGGGGGCTTGCTGCTGAGGATTCAATGGCTGTTCAGGTTGCTCTGATTGCTGATTGTAATCTCCAGTGTTGCCTTGAGCTTGTTGTTGTTGCTGTTGGTACATGTACCATTGTTGCATTCTTTGCCAATACTCTTGCATCATTTCTGGTGACATACCATTCATACCTTGACCATAAGCAGCCATACCTGGTTGTTGGTATTGCGTTTGGCCATATTGGTTACCGTAGTTACCATAGTTATATGGTTGTTGCTGTTGTTGCTGTTGCATTTGATTCTGTTGATGTTGGCCTCTTGGTTCTGCTCTCTTGACTTCCATGGACTTACCCTTCAAAGTTAAGTATTTATTCACAGTAACCCTATCGACAGCATCAGGAGAATCATAAGTAATAAAACCGAAACCTCTCGATCTACCAGTATCCTTGTCGATCATCAATTGGGCATCAATAATACTACCGAATTGAGAAAAGAAATCATTAAAGTCTTTTTCGTTGACCATTGGATCAATACCACCAACAAAAATCTTACCAACTTTGTCTTGTTCTTCTCTCGCAATGGCTCTCTTAGGATCAATCAATTTACCGTCTAATATGTGGTCAGTTTTAATAACTTCGTCAACCGACTTTGGATCTTTAAAAGTTAAGAAACCGAACCCACGGGACTTGCCGGTGTTATTATCTCTCATAATGGTATGGTCAATAACCTCACCATATTTGGTGAAATATTCAACCAATCCTTGTTCGGTAGTGTCCCAGTTAAGCCCACCAATAAACATTTTACCATGGTCTTTACCCATGTTCGAAGGTGGTAATTGTTGAGGTTGTGGTGGTTGTGGTGGCTGAGGAGGTAATGGCATACCCCCTTGGAACTGCTGCTGCATTTGCTGCATTTGTTGAAAGTCTGGCATTTGTCCCGGCATCTGTCCCGGCATCTGTCCTGGCATCTGTCCTGGCATCTGTCCTGGCATCTGTCCTGGCATCTGTCCTGGCATCTGTCCTGGCATCTGTCCTGGCATCTGTCCTGGCATTTGTCCTGGCATTTGTCCTGGCATTTGTCCTGGCATTTGTCCTGGCATCTGGCCCGACATCTGGTCCGACACAGGTGGAGGTGGTGGGATAGCATTCTGTTCTGGTTGTGCAGGTGCTGCCACTGGCAAAGCAGCCTGTTGCTGAACTGGCGTGCCAGAAGCTGGCTCTTCTGCTTTAGTCTCGTTTGCACCTGAAGTAGTAGTTTCTCCTTGGGCTGGAGCTTCTTCCTTAGCAGAAGTCTCTTCCTTCTTTTCTTCTGTTTGGTCATTGTTTTGTTCCTTTACTGTGGTAGATTTGTCATCGTCACCGCTAGAATTGTTAGAATACTAATTCGGAGTTTTGGCAATAAAAATAGCGGCCTAAAGAATCTTCAGAATCTTGTCCCGAATGAACCTTCTCAAAACCACTTTCCACCTCAAAAATTAAAAAAATACATACTAGATATCCTCGAAAAGGGCTTCATCATCATCGTAGGAAGACATTGCTAACTATTGGGACTAACTAATATACGGATAAATAGTATCAAGACAAACTAAGTTTATTGAAATATGGAAATTGTATAAAACTAAACAAAAGATCTATGTAGTAGATACAAATCAATTTTTTAGATACTTGGAATTTTTCAGTCAACCAAATATTTCAATTGAATACTATATTATATTAGTTGTTTATATGGATTTATCAATAACTTTGTCTAAAGAAAAGGAAGCAAAAGGAATCCCAGTGGAACGCCATCGGCTAATTTTCATTCACAATAGTGGGGACGTGTGTGGATCAAATAAAAATGATTTTGCTTATATAATAGGGACCAACTGACCAGCCATGATAGTAATAGGCTTATGTCGAATAGGGACCGATGGCTGTTGTTGGTATTGGTTGCAATTATTCCGGGTGTATGATAAAATTACATCATTGCCAATGGGAATCAACATGATCAACACATTGCAATTGTTGCAACTGCTGCACTTCTTACTGCAACTGCTTCTGGCCACTGTCTACTGTCTTAGTGTTCACTGCTTAATGCTACAAATGTTATACTATATAATTGTAAAGTATTTATATGTTTCACGTAGAATATGAGGCATAATTTTTGTAGAATTGCTCATTTTTGTATATGATAATTGTAAATCGATTAATGTTTTAAATTGAATATTTTGCAATTATCGTGAGAAATTGTCATTGCATGGGTTAATTGTTCTACTGGCAGCAAGACTCATATTTTTGTAGGATTTGCAATACAAGGATGAATATGTACTAAGAGCAAGGGATGATGGATGGTTTGGACTGAAATCAAAGGTTGCACCCTTGGTGGAGGTTATTTGCAGTTATTGACCAAGCGTGAAATGAGCCGCATCAATTTTTTCAATATTCGAGATGAACTTGAATCTAACGATTAGACCAATAGTATACTATATATCAACATGAAGGACTACTTGATATATTTCGCCCAGGCGTACCCCAACTTCAGAAGGGCAGAGTTGGAATCATTAGCTGCTTATCATGGCATTCCGATAGACTTATCACATCACGATGAAAAGAATCCATTTTTGATTGTGAAATTGGAAAACGATGAGCAGGCCCGCAAAATCATGGCAAGGTCCATATTAGGCAGAGGAATATACGAGTTATGGGGCCAGGGAAAGAACTTAGAAGAATTACACGAAGATGTTAAACAACGGTCTAGTGACCGGTTTGATGATTACAAAAGAGTGTCTTTTAAATTCGACTTCATTGGGTATATGGGGAAGAGAACCACCAAGGAGAAATTCGAGATCATCGAATCATTCTCGTATTTGGCATTTGAAGGTCCGATTAGAATGAAAAATCCTGACGAAATCTTCAATGTGCTAGAAGAATATCATGTTCATGGGACCGAGAAAGCCACGGCTCCTATCAACATGTGGTTTGGAAGACAGATCCAATTGAGTGCAAGAACAGAGAATATTTTAGACAAATACGATTTGAGACGCAGAAAGTACATCGGAACCACCTCATTTGATGCTGAATTATCTTTAGTCAGTTGTAACATAGCACAAGTTGGGCCAGGAAAAATAGCATACGATCCATTTACGGGTACCGGTTCCTTTTTGGTGGCTGCAGCTAACTTTGGCGGATTGCCCATTGGATCTGATATTGATATACGTATATTGAGAGGCAAGAATGATAAGTGCAATATCAAGGCCAACTTCAAACAATATGGCACCACTTTGAATTTCTTGGATATTTTGACCATGGATTTCACAAATAATGCATTCCGTTCGGATTTAAAGATCGACACCATAGTCTGTGATCCTCCATACGGTGTCAGAGAAGGTTTAAAGGTTTGTGGTGCTAAGGACCCGGAGAAAGCTGCCGGTAGGGAAAATGTGGTTATAGACGGAGAAAAAGCCCATTTAAGGAAAGACTTCATTCAACCTAAGAAACCATACGAATTGTCGAATTTATTAGACGATTTATTAAATTTCGCTGCCAATAGATTGCCGGTAGACGGTAGACTCGCATTCTGGATGCCTACAGCAAACGATGATTTTGAACTCAATTTAATTCCCCAGCACGAAAATTTGGAACTCATATATAATTTAGAGCAAGAATTCAATAAGTGGTCTAGAAGACTATTGGTCTACGTTAGAAGAGATGTCGATTTTAAGGGTGAGACATCGAACGGGTTGAGAGCAAACCAAATCAAAAATTTCAGAGACCGTTACTTTAAGGGATTCAGTCAAAAATCTAAATAGTTATGTACATTACTTGTAACCATTATACGCATAAAGATTTCTCGGATCACTGTAAGGTTATAAATTGGGGCTCTATAATTGAATGCTTGACTTATGCATTTAAGGATTATTCGCATGCGAGAATTTTGCAGCAGTTTATATTAAGTTCATGCGATTATGCGACCTTCTACTGCGCCAATAAGAAATATGGTAAGGCTAAGTTTGAAATATTTGGAGTTTTGATATTACGATCATTGATCTTCCAATATGAATAAACTCTTAAGAGGATCAACCGAGAGGACAGTTGAAGTCCGTCGCTGTTTTCCAGAAAACTATTTAAGACAGAGATCGCTCTGCTTTTGAATCAACTCTAACCTACTAATTATATTAATACACTAATAAATATATAATACAAAATGGCACCCCCTACTATGATTGAGACTTCTGTTAGACATGAATTCTCCCCTGTTGTTACAGAGGACAGAGTTGTAAGAATGTCGTCAGATGCACAAAATTCAGATGTTAAGTTTGCTGATTGGGACAAGTTCAAATTTGCACCTATAAGGGAATCTACAGTTTCTCGTGCAATGACAAGCCGTTATTTTGCTGACTTAGACAAGTACGCGGAATCAGACGTTGTAATCATTGGTGCTGGTTCAGCTGGGTTATCCGCAGCTTATATTTTGGCTAAGAACCGTCCAGAACTCAAGATTGCCATCATTGAAGCCGGAGTTAGCCCAGGTGGTGGATGCTGGTTAGGTGGACAATTATTCTCTGCTATGATCTTGCGTAAACCAGCACACCTCTTCTTAGAAGAATTGGGGCTTGAGTACGAAGATGAAGGTGACTACGTTGTTGTAAAACATGCTGCTTTCTTCATGTCGACCTTGTTATCAAAGGTCCTTCTGTTCCCAAATGTTAAGTTATTCAACGCTACTGCCGTCGAAGATTTAATCACCCGTCGTGATGAAACCACTGGTGATTTAAGAATCTGTGGTGTTGTCACCAACTGGACTCTAGTTTCCCTTAATCATGACACTCAATCATGTATGGATCCTAACACTATCAATGCTAATGTTATCCTTTCTGCGTCCGGTCACGACGGTCCATTCGGTGCTGGTAGTGCTAAACGTTTGGACAAATTGGGATGTATTGAATTAGGCCATATGAGAGGTTTAGATATGAATAGTGCCGAAGATGCCATTGTTAAGGGTACAAGAGAAGTCACTCCAGGCTTGGTTGTTACAGGTATGGAATTGGCAGAAGTCGATGGCTCCAACAGAATGGGTCCTACTTTCGGTGCCATGGCGCTTTCTGGGGTCAAGGCTGCCGAAGCTGTCTTAAATGTATACGATTTAAGAAAGAAGCAAAACAATCCTTAAGATAGTCTCTTTGTATATGCTTTTATATTTTCATTAAATGATATGCGCCTACAAAATTAGCTCTGACTATAAAATCATGATTTTAGAACATCTAACTAAACTAAATACAAAATTAAATCAACCAAAACTATAAATATCAAATACAGTTTAGTTATAATTGGCTGCCCATAACACGGAACCCGCTAAACCAGAATGGTGAAAGAAATCTTCCATACTATTTCTTTGTCCGGCTTTTGGCCAGCCAACAATATTGTTACTATCATAAATCATAAAATCACATTGGGACGCTTCATCAGTCCATCTCTTATTTTTAACGCCCCATGTCTTAATGTCATCAATCTCAGACTGAGCCAATACACCATCAGTATTAACTATAGGGCCCTTCTTACCTGGGCCGGAAACTGGGCAACCCACGTTAGAACAGGATGTTGAGGATAACTTATATGATCTCCCGTAGTTAGCTAAACCACCGTATGTTTTTCCTATTTGTACCCCTGCCTTATCTAACATCTGAAGAGCATTGATGACTTCAGTCTTGTTAGTGTGACATTGAACAATATTATCGCTATTGGTACCACGAATATCGTAGGTCATAAACACTTGATAATCAATATATTTTTGCATATCTTTAATTGGGAAATTCTTCAAGTACCAGAAAGAAGCAGGAATGGTTATAGACAAAGTCTTTCCGGCTGGCAATTTAGATTTAATAAGTTTCAACAACTCTAAATACCTTTGGCCATCCTTTTTATCGTCATCTGGAATACCAGGAATACCAGAGAGACCAGGAAATTCCCAGTCTAAATCAAGACCATCTAAATTGTATTTTTTCAAAAAGTTAACTAAATTTGTAGCAAATTTCTCCCTATTTGCATCAGCCACACCATTTCTAAATATATTATAGGTGGATGCCGAAGTGCTAAATTCCCAACCCCCAAAACTGGCGATCTTCTTGTTGCTAATACCTAAGAAAGTACTTTTCGCAAATTTTGAATCGTCTATAGTGAGGTCCGATTTAATATTCACAAAGGAATAATGAACAGAATAGTAACTATTCAAGGATTTAGGATCAGTACGCAATTTGTCATTCGCATCTAACCAATACACTATCTTCTTAAAATCAGATCTTGTATCTGTATGAACCTTGCCGTATCCACAGTTCGAGAGACAACCCGCAGTACCAGGAGCTCCAGTTGGACTTTTAGTTACAGCACAAAAGTCCGATGTTAAGCCGCAAAAGCCATATGGACTACAACAAGCATTTAAAGGACACTTGATATTAGTTCCATCGGTAGAAGCCTGAGGCCCGCATTCAGCAAGCTTGTTATATGCTGGCTTTGGAGGCGTACCGTCACTAACACATACCTTATCTCCTTTCCATGGGTGGCCATTATCACATCCCATCCAACCAAAATTGTTTTTGTTCCATTGCATAAGATTATCCTTAGTAATGGAAAATTTATCCATCATAAATTGGCATGTTTCGCCTGATGCTACAGTATGAGCATAACAGGAACCATCTTTATTTTTTTGCGCATGAACTTTAGCCATAAGTATACGAGGATGAAAAGCCTCTGGATTTATACTACTCAAGGCCGCTTTGGGGTAAGCGAGTGAAAAATTCAATAAAAGAAAGGACGCAGCAAAGGCTGCAAAAAATGGTAAATACATTTTTTAATTTGTAATTTTCTAAACCTATAGAAGATAAATACAATAACATAATTCTTAGATGTCTCTTGGTTTAAATAGTCACACGATCAAAGTTTCTACGTTGAAATTTTTAAATAATAAAAAAATAATGGTTCCTTACGTGCTTTCAAATGGAACGTAAATATGTCAAAATATGTAAACACGAAACGCGAAAAGTGCTTAACCCTTACGACGACATTTCTGAGAGACATTTGAGAAGACATTTGTCGCGACATCGTCCGCGTCATTTATCGCGACATTCGTGAAATATAGACAGCATTGATCCCAAGACTGGCTTTATCTATTACTACTATACTGACAATACAGCGATATACATTATAGATGACAGATATCCTTAAGTATGTTCCTAAATGAAACAAGATTGTGTTTTACGGCATTTTGCTAAATTGATATACTAACCATCCAGAATCACCAATACCAATCCTCGTGGTATTCCAGAAGCTCCATTTATAGATAAAGTAGAAGACTATGTCAAGAATCCGGATGTTGACTTTGATAAGGTTATTTCTGCGTTCCAGGATCGCTTGCAACAATACAAGTTTATGGAGGTGTCTAAGAAACAACAATTAGGAGATTTAAATGTTAAAATACCCGATATTGAAAAGAACTTGGACATAATAAGTCATATCAAGGAAACCAAGAAAAGCGACGACGAAGAGGATAAGACCATTGAAACTAATTTTGAGTTGAATGACACGTTATACACCAGGGCCACTATTGACGCATCGACCTTAGAATCAGTGTACTTGTGGTTAGGTGCGGAAGTTATGTTAGAATACCCACTTGACGAAGCGATTGAATTATTGAACGACAGGTTGAAGAGCAACAAGGTGCAATTGGGGCTTGTCAAGGAAGACTTGGAGTTCTTAAAAGAGAACATCACCACTATGGAAGTGAACACGGCAAGATTGTATAATTGGGATGTCGAAAGAAGAAAAAAACTAAGAGCTACTGAAGAAGGTGCTAAGAATTGAATGATTCAAATTAGTACACTATTTGTAATATATCGGTAAATATTAATGCATTGATTTGTATATACTATACTAATTTTGTCATGTAGATCACGTTCTGAATGTGTCCAAGAACTGGCTGCCCAATGGCCTAACAGGGGTTTCTGCTCTGATTTCATGGGCACGGTTATTACTCCTGCCTTCATCTAGAACTTCCTCTGCATCCTCATCGGCAATCAGCTCATTTGCATTAGCGTTAGCATTGTTGATGGTCTGGTAGCCACCATTGCGTATTGCCCTGGTGGATGATAATAAGTTGCTCCCAAACTTGCGAGGATGCATAAATGCCTCAAAGACACGTACTGGAATTAGCCAGTTCCTGGCACCTAGAAGTAACTCGTTTGTATGCAATTTCCCTATGACTATACCTACCAAACACGGTATTATCGACCCCAATCCATTATTAAGAAGCAATAACGTATAAATAATATGGATTTGGAAATGGTTAGTAAGCACTAGTTCCTTGCTTGAATTAGATGGATGCACCTCCCCATCGTCCAGTAGCGTAGGCTTCGATAACAATATTTTAAACTTATACGATGTAGGTATGTTTGCCCCGTAGCAAATGTACAACGACGACAAAATGCCCAATGGGCCCAGTGCCACCTGGTTGAACACGGTTGTACTATATTCAACGTCCCCATTCCCCCCACTAGTAATCAACGACACCAAGTACACCGCATAATTCACCCCCAATTGCCCCAAACCCATGACAAGAAAACACACTATCGAATTGTACAACGCAAACACCACTATCAACGACACATATTTCCGCGACCCGTAGAACCTCTCCAAGTTCTTGTACTGGAACCAGAGTAGCACACATAACATGTAATCAGACTCATTGATCACCGCCATCTCATACGTTAGCACCCTCCAGTACTGCTCATACTCCAATATATATGGATCTATCGACAACCGAACATAATGCTTCATCTGGAATATAGAAAGCCCCAATGCCACCAACGTGCTGACTATACATATTGCCTTGGATATTGGGGTATTACTAAACCCTCTTATCGGTGTTAATTGGGCCATATCTCTGATCCAATCCCTTTATATAATTCTAAACCTCTCACTATTATAAGTTAAATGTACTGTCAAAATCCGTTCTGCTATAATACCAATGAGCTCTTTTATCTAGCTTCAATCCCAAGTTCCTAAGTATACCAACTCTCACGTAGGTTTGTTTATATTTGTGTTGCCTTCGTAATCTACTGTACAGTTGATTTACTGATAAACAGAGTTGATATCAGAAGGGTTCCAGCCCCATTGCATCATATGATTATGTACCAAAGAGTGAAAAATTCCTGTTTTTACTAAATTACACAAAACTACAATTTTTCAAAAAATTTTCAGTATCGCATCACCAGCAGGAATCTTGGACATAATTATTCTCATATAAGACTTTCAGTTCTTTCAGATAGTTTCTTCATCACAGGTCAAAGTAACTAAAAATGGGTAGAGATCACACTTCTAAGCAACACATCAGATCTGGTCACAGACAAGCACCTAAGTCAGACAACGTCTACTTGAAATTATTAGTTAAGTTATATTCTTTCTTAGCTCGTATGTATATCGTTTAATAAGGATTCACCCAAAAGAAGATGTTATAATAAACCACTCATTTTACGGAAATAATGCTTGTGAAAACACAGCAATCCAAGGAAGAATTGAGATGGAATGAAGATAATGAAATATGGAAGTTTGGTGACGGTTGAAGACCCGAACAGACATCGAAGCAGGCCCGAAAGGAGCCCGATACAATCTTACATCAGTAGAGACACTGGTAACCAAAAGATTCGGGCTCGAGTAGACCAACGAGGTATACAAGTAGGAACTAGCTGACGGGTTTGAGGGAAGAGTAAACGTCGAGCCACACGCCCCATGGAGAAGGAGTTTTGAGCTGGTGATGCAGCGAAGACCGTTTCCATGGGAAGCCATTCTGCGAGTGCATGGCACAAACATTTATTCTGTTAAATGTGGTGTTTACTGTGCGTCTTCTGAGCAGAAAGAAGATCCTTATACTAACATACCATAGGTCGTACTGATGCCCCATTCAACAAGGTCATCTTGAGATCTTTGTTCTTATCCAAGATCAACAGACCACCAGTGTCTGTCTCAAGAATTGCCCGTGCCTTGAAGCAAAAGAACGCCGGTGAAAAGACCATCGTTGTTGTTGGTACCGTTACCGATGACAACAGATTGTTGGAATTCCCAAAGGCCACCGTCGCCGCTTTGAGATTCACTGCCGGTGCCAAGGCTACCATCTTAAAGGCTGGTGGTGAAGCCATCACCTTAGATCAATTAGCTTTAAGAGCTCCAAAGGGTCAAAACACCTTAATTGTCAGAGGTCCAAGAAACTCCAGAGAAGCTGTTAGACACTTCGGTTTCGGTCCACACAAGAACAAGGCTCCAAGAATCCAATCCACCGGTAGAAAGTTCGAAAGAGCCAGAGGTAGAAGAAGATCAAGAGGTTTCAAGGTCTAAGTTAGATAGCTTATGTACTTTTATAAGACGTTTAGTCCTGACTCTCTTCTAATTTCTTTTACGAACTCGTTAATTTGTGTTTAGTGTATAATATAAAATATAAGTTTCTGAGTTAATGTACCAAGTATATTGCAATTGGAAGCATAGTGTTCCAGAATGCGCATAGAATGTTTCGCTTGATGTGAGCGAACTTACGTATTTATGCTACATGCGACGGTCAGGTGTTATCATCATTGAACGACAATATCCCCTTCATGATACCAATAATATCTCCCTAATCACTCGCCTCTAATCACTCTTCTCTATTTACTCATATCCTTTAACATATGGCATCATGGCACCTTACACCAAACCCCTATACTCTAAAAGCATCGCTCCAACAAACCCTCTTTTCCCTATATGTCTCTCCATATAACCCCTCCCATAGACAGTACAAGTCTTGGTCCATCACCTTGCCCTTCCTACAGACCCCGATAGTCGATACTATACCATTACCTTTTTGCATCTATTTGGCCTGGTCTGTGACTGCTTTTTAGCCCCTCCGCGTAATATTCAGCATTCGTGTAATTTACAACCCTAAATAAATTCGGTTACACAAAAATGCCGGCCACTGCGAAAAATTCTTACCCGTTCGGTCTTACTGCGTAGGTATTGTCTATGGATACTGAAAAAAAATTTTAAAACTAGACACTAAGTGCAATTATATTTACTACCCAATACATATAACTAAAGACAATATGCCAGGTGTTTCCGTCAGGTAAGTGTTGTCGTTACTAAGAGGATGTTAAGCAATGATTGCCCAGAGAACAGATGTAAAGTGGGTCAAAAGTAGACCATTTTGATATTGAAAGACCCCATATTGAAGACAATGAAAAGTGAAATAATAAGTCCAGATGATAGAAGAAGTACTTAAAGAAGCCGTCAGAGGTAGAGATGCGTAGATTGAATGAATGACGGTGGTTGGAAAGTGATGGAGAACAAGTACATATGCCAGCGAACAGTGAGACTTTGGAGTGAAAAGTTTTTCACTAATTAGTACCGCAGTGAAAAAGGCCGAAAAGCACGTAACGGGGCCGTGGGTGGAAAATGGGGATAAATGGCAAAACAGGAGACTTGGAGACCAGATAGACTATGGGCAATCATTTGTTTGAAATCTAGATGAATCAGAGAAAACTGATATACTAACATGCATTATAGAGACGTTCCAGCTCAAGAGTTCATCAACGCTTACGCACAATTTTTACAACGTCAAGGTAAATTAGAAGTTCCAGGTTACGTTGACATTGTCAAGACTTCTGCTGGTAATGAATTACCACCACAAGAATCTGAAACTTGGTACTACAAGAGAGCTGCCTCCGTTGCCAGACACATCTACTTAAGAAAGCAAGTTGGTGTTGGTAAATTAAACAAATTATACGGTGGTTCTCTTAACAGAGGTTTCAGACCACACAAGCACGTTGACGCTTCTGGTTCTGTTAACAGAAGAGTTTTACAATCCTTAGAAAAAATCGGTGTTTTAGAAATTTCTCCAAAAGGTGGTAGAAAGATCTCTGAAAACGGTCAAAGAGATTTAGATCGTATTGCTGCTCAAACTTTAGAAGATGACGAATAAATCATTTAATTGGTGTCCTATAAATGTTAATTAAGTGGTGTTATTTTATTTTTTAAGTTCTCTCTCTAATTTTGTATTTAACTGTAATAAAATTAGCAAAACCGCATTGTAAAATATTAATTTATGTTGTGTTTATCTAAAAATGCCATGTAGAGTAAAGCGACCGTTCTTATATCCATAAATGATTCATTCGTTACATGTTTATATAAATTATTTAGGTAACGCAATCTATAATTCTGGTAGCTAAATTTGAGCTATGATCAGCTGGGCAGACTGTGCTACTTGTTGCCCTTCTCTTTCACGGTATAATATGCTAACCCTTTCTTCTAATCCAACCCATTTCAATGGTGCTTGATCAGGTAATGATTTAATCCATGATTTGTATGCTTCGGTAGATATACCTTCAGGAACATGCAATTGGGTTCCTGATTTTATAGTCAAGCTGTTCTCAACTAAATTGAAATTGGTTTCAAATGCTTGTATGCTGAATATATGGTTCGCTAAGTTTGTGATATATGCTAAATCGGATTTATTATCAACTTGGCCACCATAAGTAATCTCACCCACTAAGTAACTTAATTCTTTCCAAGGTACTAGTTCGGGTGAAATATTAGACCTTCCGTCTTTAAATGGCGTCAACAACTTTTTTATAACGTAAAGGCCAGAAGTAAAATCCGAATCGTTTATATCGTACTTCTTAGTAAACGACATAGGAGCATATCTCGATCTTTCTTGAATTATTGAATGGAACCAAGATAACAAGAAACATATATGCTTATATTCATTGGTGTTTTCAGTTAGGATTTCACTTGGTATCGAATTATATGTTTCATTAACAATGCTCTTCAAGCCCGGCTCATTTTCGAATATAAGTATTTTTGATTTATTAATCATAGCAGCTGGAATATCCGACGATAAGTTACAACTCATAAAAATCTTGAAATCCTCGTGTGTTGATAAAGATTCTAATCTCTTATCAAGGTAACTTAACCAATTGGGGGACATCTGCACGTTCTGAATCATAATCCAGAATCCATTCTTAGCAGCAATATCGATCTCTTTATTGGCTATTTCAATGCCTTCTTTTGATCCCATTGATACAATTAGTAATTTCCTATTCATACGATGAGCCATTTGTTCAACTTTATAGGTTGCATCATAGGTTTCAGGCGATGCCAAAATTATCGGACCATCGTGTCTAATTGGTGATATCCAATCTTTCAAATCATATTTAGAACTAATAGGACCAATACCTGTAAATAAAAATGAGGCCAAATTGTTGAATGCATCCAAGAAGGAATCTTTTTTATGGCTATTAGACATTATCAATGATTTGATAATATCAGATAATACCATCAACGATTCATTTTCATCGTTTATAGAAATAATATTATCTATAGCAGCTTCTGTGAAAAAATCATTCTTCACTTTAGATACCAACAAAGAATCGAAAATAATGTTAAATGACTCTATATATTCACCAACCCCAACAGATTTCAATATTTCAATAAATGTGATTTTGAACTGATGTCCTATTTCTAATGCATAATAGCTTGCACTCATAGCAACAGCAAATATAAGCTTGTCTAAATGCTTCAATGAAGGTGAAATTCTAGCATAACATTCCCTGTATAATTCTTTAATAAAAGAAGAAATATCAATTTCATTGGGGTTTCCCTTTAATACAAAAGAGAACGTTGAAACATAAGCTTCAAGTGAAAAATGGTATAGTTTGTTAAGTCTATTCATTTGCTTGAAAATTCTAAAAATTGCAGACGAATGCTTTGCAATATCATAGTATTTGTTTCGTTCGTTTTCCACTAATGTCATAACACTATTTGACTCGCTTATTTTGACGTCTATATCAATAGCTTCAGCTTTTAATACTTCCAATGTCTCAATAACTTTATCATTATCAAGAATATTTCCAGTAGAATCATTCAACGAATTCAAGAGCTGTTCCTCAAGTTCGTGCAAGCGGACTAAGTACCGACTTTGCAAGAAAACCAGTTCGAGTCTCTTGGCTTCTATGTCTGGTCTTTTATCTTGTAATGTGGTGTTGAGAATCAAGTTCTCAAGACTTCCTGTTGTAACTGTAAAATTAACTATAGATGTTCTCGCTGCAACAAATGGCGGTAACATAATCAGAGAGTCTCTTGTGTGTAATATCAACTTGAATTCAGGAGAAAAGTCTATTTCCTGATTCCCAAGTTTTATCATCATACGGCCACCATTTCTATAAATCTCATGCCTCAAAACAGAATCAAGAATTGGATCATAATACTCCGCATCATGAATTAACAAAGTGCCTCCAAATCTTAATTCATTTTCAACTTGCTTTACAAATCCATCATTTAGGAAACTTGTAACACTTAACTTTTTTGGCATATAAGATTTCGATAATATTGCTGGGATCTTTGAGGAAGGATCAATAATTATAGGTATTTTCGATCTCTTCATTATCGTGAAATTTTCTGTGTTTAAATCATCATTAGGTAGACCACATTGTTCCCACTTTAACATTTCATCCCCTCCAGTCAAGTACCCCGTAACCGAGATTCCTTCGTCAAAATTAATTCCGGAAAACCGTAATCTATCTCTCCATTCTTTCATGAGAGTAATCCGGTCTTTCTGGTCATAAGCACCAGCATATACTATAAACGCAGCTGTCAAAATACCATTTCCAACCAAACGGTCTCTTTGATAACCGAACTTATTAATACTTGACTTCCATCTTTCTCTTTCTGCAGTCAAATCATCTATCAATTTCAAGCTTCGATTGACTCTTAATTCTACAACCTTCATTTCAGATTTTATGTTTTCAGCTTCTCTGATTAAAGAGCTATAATTTTCTTTATATTGATCAATGCTTTCTTCCAATTCACGGATCATTTCATCAATTGCTATTAATTGAGCTTTCGTTTTTTTCTTTTGGTGTTCCAAATGATGAACTTCCTCCCTAAGTGGTCCTATCTTCTCCAATATAGTAGAATAATTTAATTGCGCTTGAATCCACTGCAACAATGGGCCACAGGCTTTACTTGCCCTATTAACAGCATCAAAATTGTAGTCACTTCTAGAAAGATATGTTTTTTCCATATATTTTCTTATATTTGAGGTCAATTGCAGCTCATTATCGTATGCGACTATATTTGAGATAAAATCGTCTCGGCGGACAATTAATTGAACATCTCTCCAACTAGATACTTCATATCCAATCAATATACAAACAGATTCCATTGTCATTTTAACAGCCGCGGGAGGATTAGACATACTTCTAATTTCAGTAAGATGCTGTTTCTTTATGTTCTGAACGCCTCTTTGAGCCTCTAGAACAGCAGGTTCTGCAAGTTCTAGATCTTTTGTTACATTGACTTTACGCCTTTCGATTTCAATTTCCTGTTTAGCAAGTTCCTCTTGAGTTGCTACTGAGAATTCTTGTTTACGTTCTGCTTCGTTCTGTTCAGTAAGCATTTTACTTAGCATCGCTTTTGCTTCTTTATCTTTAATCATCAAGTAGTTTCTCTTTTCCGAGAGTTTGCGTTTTAAATCATTCACCTGTAATACGGTTTCTCGTAATTTATCCAAGCCATTCGTAATGTGACGTTGAGTTTCTTCTAAGTTGAATTGTTTTTCGTTAAAAATCATAATGAATTCTTTAACAAAAGACATAATCTTGCTAGGAGGTTTTGTCAAAGATATCGTTGCTTCGCAGTCCACTTCAAGACGGTGGAAATAAATAAGAGTATCAATAACCACGTCCCTAAATCCCGGGCTTTTTGAAGAACCAGATTGTTTAAAAAGATCAGGTACAACGTAGCTTGACATATCAAGCGGAACTGGGCCGATTAAAGTGGATACAATGTCATATAAAGATATATTTGACCAATCACCCATCCAACTTAAGACGCATCTATTGAACAAGGCTGGCGAGGAGACAACTTGAGGTCTGTTCACATTCTTCATTTCACTGAGGGTAAATATGACATGCAAATTTTCGGAAATCTGCTTCGTGAACCAATCATAAAGTTCTTCATTCGAATCCAAAAGTAAATTTTGTATATGAGCCTGATCAGAGCATAAATTCATCAAATTGTTGAATTCATCCCCCTCAAATAAGCCTGGTATTTCAGCATTTGCAAGAAGGGTATTCATACGTTCAACGAAAGACGTTTCTAAAATACTTGATTCATCAATAATAAAACATATTCTTTCTCCTGTTGCGCATCTTATGAGGATTTGTCTCAAAGTTGCATCAAAATCAAGCAAACTATAGTTTTTGCTAACATTTAACTGTATGACCCTTATACCGTTTATCCAGGCAACAAACTTCGTAAGCGTTGTTTTACCACTAGTACAAGGTCCTACTAAGATCATATGCCCTTGAGGTTGTCTTAGGACCCTATCTATTCTTAGCGAATGATCTAATAGATCTTCATATAATACTAAATCAACTTCAATCTCTTCCTCGCTGAAAACTCGAAGTCTTTCTGTAAGAAAGGATCTAAGTTCATTTTCATTATTAGACTCATACACCCCTGTTAACCAACTTGAATAAAGGACAGGTTCCTTTAACGTGGTCTGAATATCCACGTTAGGGAATTGCGTTGACACAACACTTCTAAAAAGTTCCTTTGTCCAATCCCTATCTGAGTCGCATACAAGTCTATCATAAAAAAGTCTCAATCCTTCATGATACCATAATCTGACTAAATCTTGTAAATTCGAATATTCCGACACCTTCAACGCCTCTAGTATACCCTTGCACCATCGAGTTAATTCACGAGGAGAGTATATATAATGATCTTGTAAAGCAGAAGTCAATTTTTGCTTCGTCTGAAAATATATATCAATCATAGAATCTGTGAGGGTTTTAGTATATCCTCTAAGGCTAGGTGCACATTTCATAACAGCTAGATTAAATGTTTGGTAAATTTGATATAAAGAACTCTTCCCTGGGTAATCAACCATTATTAATGATACATGGCGTAAGAAACGAT